ATATTATTGCAATCCAAACTAAGGCTCTAATATTGGAACGTAGGTATCATGTTAGCACAGGAAAGGTGATATAAATTAGGGGATCAGGCAATGCACCCCTAAAGTCACACCTCACAGATGGCTTTCCCACTGCAAACCCAGCTTCTAAGGGATGACTGACCTCCTTGCTGTGAAATTGCTCAGCCACTAACTTCACATCTATGGAACTACTCCCTGCTCCATGGAAATTGATGACATATGGCAGTATGTCACCCTTTTACTATTTCCCTAACATACAGCACTTTGTAGGTACTTGTATTAATCAGTTTTGCATTGCTGTGAGCAAAATACCTGATATAAACAACCTAGAAGAGGAAAGGTTTATTTTGGCTCACAGTTTTAGAAATTCAGTTGATGATCAGCTGGCTACAATGCAAAAACATCACAGCAGAAGGGCATGGTAGAGGAAAGCTACTCAGCTCATGGCATCTGGGAAGCAAAAGAGAGAGAGAGAGAGAGAAAGGATCTGGGGAAAAGACAAACCCTTCCAGGGCTTGTCCCCAGTGATCTATTTCTTCCAACTAGGTCCCACCCACCCTCAGTAGTCCATGTTGCTGCCAATGGACTAATCCATCAAAATAAGAACCTTTGTGATCCAATCACTACCCAAAAGCTCCACCTCTGTACACATGAGACTTGGGGAAAATTCCAGATCAAAAACCGAGACAGTGCTTAAGGAATGTCTGGTAAAAATAAATAAATTAAAAAGGTACACAAATACTCTTCACCCTTCTGTTTGTCCATAAATGTCCCTAGATAATTAACTGAATATTTATCATCATATAAGACTTACAGAAAAAAAAATCCATTTCCTTAATCAAGTACCCATTCCAATGTGACAAGTAGGCTTTCTAAAAAAAGTGAAGACAGCTATAAATCTGCACTTAGCTGATGGCTTTTGGAAGTCTTATCTCTCTAGAACACCAACAAACTCTAAAGTAACCTAAAATTGTCTCTTTTTGAGAAAAACAATGAAATAATGTCACCATCAAGCTCCCATTCAGAACTAAACTCAAAACCTATTTAAAACACAGGTAATAGTTTAAATAAAGATTGTTTACAGGAGAGAGGAGACATGGACAAGTATCTACTACAAGAGAAGAAAACACACAGAACTCACTGATGGAGGTGATGACTGACACCCACCCCATCCATTCCATCAATGGTGGTTGGGAAATGGGCATGTGTCCTGATCCCCATCAGTTAGGGGAAAGACAAATTCTACTGGAAAATCCTTAGAAAGACTGTCTCTCCTTTAAGCAAGAAACACAGTGAAAAGGCAGTTGTCTTCTATCTGGGGACAATGTCTTGTTGGTGTGAAACTGAGCTCTCTGCCTCCAAAGCAAGTGTATGTCACATTGTGGAAAACAGACGTTCAGAGAATTCTAGACTGTGAATCTACTGCTTACTGCTTTGCTTTAGAAAGCCATCTACATTTTCCACGCTTGTTACTTAACAGGAAGTGAGACTATAATCTATTCAAAGAGTTTGCATTATATTTTTAGTCAATCCCAACTACCCAACTCAATCTGTTCACTTAAAAATATATATGTGTGTTTAACATTTGCTTTGGTATATCATTCATGTTGTAAAAAATGGATATGGTGATCTATAAATAAAATAATCCACTTAAAAATAGACTGAAGCAGACAGCCTTAAAATATTATTATAATAATTTAGGATTACTTTTTTAAAAGGGCCTCAGTGTTTGCATTTTTACTGATCCATTTTTAAAGTAGATTTAATTTTACAATATTCACAAAAGTATGCACCTTATTAAATAACTTACTGAAATCTGTATTAGTTTCCATTTGCTGCTGTAACAAACCATAAACTTAGTGACTTAAAACACCAAAAATTTATTATCTCACAGTTCTGAAATTCCAAAGTCTGAAATAGGTTTCCCAGTTCTAAAACTAATGTTGGCAGCACTGCATTCTTTCTAAGGAATCTAGAAGAAAATCTGTTTCCTTCCCTTTTCCAGATTCTAGAGGCTCCCAGCTTTCCTTGGCTCCTGGCCCCATCACTCCAACATTTGCTTTTGTCATCACATCTCCTTCCGTGACTCTGACTCTCCTTCCTCCCTCTTATGAGGACTTGGAGATTACACTGGACCCACTCAGATAATCCAGGATCTTCTTCCCATCCCTGTCTCAAGAACTTTAACTTTATCACATCAGCACACTCCTTTTGCCACATACGGTAACATATTCACAGATTCCAGAGAGCACGACATAGACATCCTAGGAAAGCCATTATTCTAGTACCACAAAATCCACCACAAATAGGGACCTGACCTGAAAGTATTTAGGAAACTGGATCAATTACTACTAACCCAGAAGTTGGTACTGGCTTTGAGTTAGGAGGAAAAACCCTTGCCTCTCCAAGAAAAAGTTGGTGGGACTAAAAAAAAATCTCAAGCCTTAGATACTCCTCAAAGCACAATCTTCTCCAGTGGGAAAAAGACCAGGTTGAAAGATTTGGTTCTTGTTTTGGTTTCCACAAAACCCAGAAGGCTAAAAACAGGGTGGGAGAACGAGTTTATTGGGAAAAGAAGAGTAAAAAGTAAGAGATACCTAGGGAAATAGTAAATTATTATAATAAGGAGGGGGAAAGCCTTACCACCTGCAGGAATCACTTTTAAAAGCATATCAAACCACCAATTGGAATCACTAATTTATGAAATGTTAGCTGTGTATAGGGGTTGGAATCCAGAAGCAGGACAGGAGACAACAGAGTGATTTGTCCTGAGCTTTATGCTTACCACATCTTAAAATTTAACTGCTATTAGGTAAAAATTTGAATAACTCAAGTGTTCATCAATAGGTAAATAGATAAACAAAATGTGGTCTATCCATACAACTAAATAACACCCAGCTATGACAAGGAACAAATTACTGATCCATACAACACAGCTAAATCTCAAAGTCACTGTGCTAAGTGAAAGAAGCCAGACACAAAAATCTATATACCATATGATACCATTTATATAAAATTCTAGAAAATGCAAACTAATATATAGTGTCAAAAGTAGACTTGGGGCTGAGGGCTAAAGAAGGTGCTGCAGAGGGCATGAGGAATCACTGGGATGAGATGACGGGAATGTTCTGCATGTGATTATGAAATGGATGTGTGGCTGACAACTGTCAAAACTCATTGACTTGTACCCTTTAGATGGGTGCAGCTTATGGTTTGCAGTATATACCTTGATGATTCCTTAAAAATCGGACTCCTATTCAGTAATAAATTTGTGTTGAAGATCATTATAAGGCCATAACCCATAATCATTGCAACTTCAGACTGAAGCCTCTCCACATTTTTCTTCTTCACAGTTCCTACAATTACTTACATTTATTCATGGACAGCAAGCCAACTTCTTAAGTGAGGAAACTAATTTTCTTGACCACAACCAATGGTAGGTGCCATATGAACTCCCTCCTTCTGTAGGAAAGTAACCTCTCTCACTCTCTTCCCTAGCAAAGCACTAGAGTCCTGAATATTCAACCTATCCATGTTACAGTATACATGATAGAGTCACTTTATGTATAGATTTTTGTCTTTGTTTTTAACCTGCATTGTAAAAAGTTATCTTTGTATTTTGTATTTTTTCCCATTCATATAAAACCTGTCAGAGTAGGACAGGAGTGTTTCAAACCAAATATTTGTTCACTTGTTCACAGACCTATGTTCATATTATTTTGTGTTTATTTTATAATATTTTGGTACCACAACATTTTCATACCTCTATAAATTTTTAACAGTTTTATTTGACATATTTTAGAGTCAATATGTATTGCCCAATATATGCTGCATTTATTCAGAAAACAGTTCAGCAGATATTGTATGCACAACAATAATACCTTCTGCCTGTCCACTGGACACTAACCCTTCTGTATCCTCTCTCCTTGCAAAGTCTCAGACCCACATTCAAATTTTCACTGAAGTAGCCCCCAAAACAATCATATGATTCTTCAACTTAATGTCTGCCAGGCTGAAGATATAAACAGGCCCAGCTGTTTAAAAACTAAGAAGGGGATTTCTTTAAAGAGGTCGCTTCACATAGGGTCAAGAGAGTGGGCCTTACAAAGCACTGTGGCACACGCCTATAATCCCAGTGACTTGGGAGACTTAGGCAGGAGGATTGTAAGTTCAAGGGCAGCCTCAACAACTTAGCAAGGCCCTAGCAAATTAGCAAAACCCTGCCTCTAAATTAAAAAAAAAAAAAATTAAGGGCTGGGGATGTAGCTCAGTGGTAAAACATCTCTGGGTTCAATCCCCAGTGCCAAAAAGAAGATGGGGGAGGAAGGAGACTGACTCTCTCATTCAGAGGTTAATAGTGTCTACTCCTGACAAAAAAAAAAAAAAGAATAGACTGGGGAGCTTCCCTGTCGCAGGAAGGGAGTGACAGGCAGAGATGCAGTCTGCATTCTCAGAGTGTCTTGTGGAAAACATGAACCATGCCCTGGAGAGAGTAAGCACAGGGATATCTGGACTCTCAGCTGGTGAGAGGAGACTGTGTTGGACAATAAACAGAAAAGCTGTGGGACAACCCCAATGCTCACATACTGGCAGAGAAAGAATGTCCCCTGAGGAACAAATTCTGAAAGGACAGAAGGTGACAAAACACATTTGCTTTCTGACTCCCATGCATTTGTGCTCTTGCTCAACATTGGTTGCGCGCTTTTCCTCCCTGCTTGCAAGTCTTCCTAAAATTCTTGCAGCTGAGAAGGAAAAAATGGGATTCCTTCCCAAAATCAGATAACTGTTCTCATCAGGGGCAGTTGGAATCTGCTATTTATAAACATAAATTTCTTAAAGAAATAACTGATTTTTCCCCCCAAATGAACTACTCATAAACAGAAAAATAATTTTGCTCCATGACAGATGCCAAAGATAGAAAGTTGTCACCTTAGAACAGTAAAGGGGGAAGAAGGAAGGAGAGGGAAATACATGACTCTTACCCAGGCCTTGATTCTGCTGTTCCCACTCAATGGCATCGGGCACCTGGTAGGTGGCTCCCTCCAGTGGGTCCATGTTTCCCTGCTCTAAGCCGGGTTCCTGGGATGTGATGCCAGGGAGAGTGAAACTCGGCACCTCAGAGTCGCCATCAAAGCTCTCATCCAGGGAGTCTGCATCTTTATCCTCCTCATCCTCTTCCTCATCTTCCTCTTCTTCCTCTTCATCTTCTTCATCCTCTTCATCCTCATCTTCTTCTCCCTCTGGGCAAAATAGAAATCAAAGGGAAACACGAAAACATACAATGAGCACGTTCTCAAAACACACAGATCTTTTCAGCTGATCAAAACACTACCCAAAACTCACACTGAGTCTTTGAATACCAATTTTTATTGCCAGTTAGATGATGTGAGCTTTGCAGGATTATGCACCCACCATATACCTTTTATTTTATTTCACTGTAGTACTGGGGATTGAACTGCTTGGTGCATGCTAGGCTAGTGCTCTACCACTGAGCTATATCCCCAACCCCATATATCACACATTTTTTAAAAACCATATTATGTCAAATAAATATCATGTATCATGCTTACTGAGAGTCAAAGTTCAGGTACTATTAGTTGTTATTGAAGTAATTTATATTTACAGGGGTAAGAAACATCCCATTTCTGTGTTCCAGAGGTCATGTAAGGTGTATGTTAGAAATTAACATAAAGTGTAACCGATGTGATACTGCAATCTGTATACGGGGTAAAAATGGGAGTTCATAACCCACTTGAATCAAATGTATGAAATATGATATGTCAAGAGCTTTGTAATGTTTTGAACAACCAATAATAAAAAAAATAAAAAAAGAAAAGAAGTTAACATAGAAATACCAACAGAACTTAAAAAAACAGTTGTTCCCATCCCTTCAGCTCTCATAATATTAAAGAGGTGAATTCATTATTTTGGCATTTCCTTCTATTCTTTCACATCAGAGAACATATCTCACAACAATGTAAAGTGAGAGAGGCACCAAGATCCGCTCTTGGGTCCTATTCTCCCTGAGGAGGAGTGACCCAAGAAACCAGAAACAACTGCATCCACATTCTCAATCCCACTCTACAGGAAACTGGGAAACAGGATATGTACCAAGGACAGTCAGAAAAGCAATATGTGGAAAAAATTGTCATTATCACCATCATCAGAGTTAACATCTATAATTTGTCATTTTCAGTGCTTCAAGTGAAATGGGTTTAAGGAATATAAGATCACAAGTTTGTATTGTTTTACCTATTTCAATTTTCTAGGAATACCATGGATGCATCCCAAAGCTCAGAGAGTTCACTGAAGGCCTTTCTTTCCATCTCTCCCATTAGGGGTCCACACAGTGGTTACTCAACAGGGAACAGGGAGCAGAAACAACCAAAGCAACTCAAGAATTCTGATACTTTCTTTTGTTCCCAAACAACCTTCTTCACACATACCCATCATCCTGTATCATTTAGAGGTTTTGTGACTTTTAAAAAATATTAGCTCCTGACAGGGGTTTAGACCAGAGGTAGAGTGCTTGCCTAGCATGTGCAAGGCTTTGAGTTTAATCCCCAGAAATGCAAAAAAGAAAAAAGTAATAACTCTTGTCTTTTTTTATTCTTATAGGGCCTTTAATGTTGTAGGATTTAATAACTGTCACTATTCCAAAAATTAAACACATTTTTACTGTGCACCTAATGGGTGCTATTCCAGGAACGATGAATAAAGCAATAACGTTTCTAAGTTCACAGAGCTGATATGCCACTCGGAGAGACATACAGCAAACAAGTAGATATAAATAAACTGTCAAGAAAAAAGAAAATGCCAGGTGCTCTTATTTTTAGATAGACAGATTAAGGAAAACTGTTCTGAAAAAGTAAAATTTGAACAGAGACCATACCAAAATAATAAATTCTCTTGTTTAATTGAGGTCAATGTCTACAAGGAAAGTATTCACAGCAGATGAACAGCAAGAACAAAAGTCTTGTGGCAAATATGCACAGCAAGGAAGACTGGACTGGGGACAGGGACAGACAGAATATGGAAATGCAATAAGAGGGAATACGTATGGACCAGATCTAAATTATACATTTTAAAAATGACTCTGGCTACAAGGTGGAGAATTATCCATATCAGAGCAAGAGACAGAGCAGTAAGACCCATTAGGAGGAGGTTAGGAGGTTAGTGTGAGCTACCATCTCCTGCTTAACACTTAGAGAGCAGGTGATGGTTCTCGCACTAGGGTACAGTCCAGGAAGGGATTCCAAGTGGTCAGACCTAGAATGTAATTTGAAGGTGGAGCCCTGCTGATAATTATAATGTGAAGTGCACATTTCTGAAAATGGAAATTAAAGGATAATAAGAAAGATCAAGAATTTTTATTTGAGATAGATTGTGTAATGGCCATGCCTATGATATCCACATGGAATGCTGGAAGTCTTTGAGAAGGTCACAGCTAAAGATAAAGTTTGGAAGTCAACAAGTCACATACAATATCTCAAGTCTTGAGACTGGTTGAAATCATCAAGAGGGCAAGTGTGGACAGAAAGGGCAGTAGTCCTGCCCAAGCTCTGGGCAATCTACCATTTAGAGGTTAGCCAGTCAAGGGGGATTCCGCAAAGGAGTCAAAGAAGTGACGACAAACATAGGAGAAAAACCAAGAAGAGTGTCATGTGCAGTAAGGTAAAAGAATAAAGCATTTCCAAGGGGCTGAATAAGACTGCAAATGTCCCTCTGGCTTTGCCATCAGAAGGGTAATAGTGACTCAACAAAGGTTTCCCCCATGGAAGGATTGGGACAAAAGCCAGGTTGGAGTGGTTCAAAAGAAAACTAGAAACAAAACTGTCAACAGACCAAATATAGAAAATTATTTCCAGAAATTTGGCTGAAAAAGAACAGGAATATTAGGATATACCTGGAGGGAGATATGGAATAAAGGGTAAGTTTCTTTAAAAAATAGAAGACACTAGAACTTGATTGTAAGTTGATGGATATGATCCAGTAGAGAAGGGTAATGATGATGCAAGGAAGAGAGGAGAAGAAGCCAGAGCCATATCCTGGTAGATATGGTATCATATAGCAGTGACATCCAGACTGTGGAGCCACATGAACTTATTATGGCTATAATTTTGGACAAGTTTCTGAATTTGGCTGCACCTCAGCTTCTTCATGTGTAACAATGGTATTATTCCTATCATTATCATCCCAGGGCTGTTCTAAGGATTTCATTAGATAATATATAAAGTACTTAAAACGAAGCCTAGCATGTAGTGGTCACTATGTAAGGTTAGCTTCTTTACTCTAACAGGGCACGGGATCCAGGGCACAGGTTGGCACAGATACATCCACCACCACTACAGGAGGAAGGGCAGAGAAAGCAGGCACAGGTGCAGGCAGTGGGTAGATTTGGTGGTAGGAATATGTCCAAGTAATCTTCATATTTCTCATGTTCTCAAACAAGAAACTGGATAGGAAAAGAGAAATGTCAAGTGGTTTGCGGTGAAAGGAGAAAGCGCGAAATAGCATCTTGCAGAATGGGCAAGCAAATTCTCAGGGGAAAAGTGGTGAGCCCTATGAGATGTGTCATCATAAATTTAAAGTGAGACCCATTAAGACAGTTGTGTTTTTCCCCAGCCACAATCAGCTGCTTGGGTGTAGACATGGGTGGAGAGTTGAGTAGGCAGAGAGATTTAACCAGCAGCTGGTTTTACCGGAATGGAAAGAGGATAAGAAGGATGCTGATTCTGGAAGAAGTGGTAACTATAAACATAGACCATGGACTTCAACTAAAAAGAAGCTGAGGAGGAGACTGCATAGAGAAAAAGTGATGGGGCAAGAGGATTATAGAGAAAACCATCAGGGATCATCCAAATTATTTGAGGACTCTGCTGATCTTCCTCCCACAGATGAGAATTCACCATAAGCTGAAAAGATCACTTCTTTAATTTTTGAAGCATTATAAAGTCACTCTTAGTTTCCTTTCCTTCCCACAAAGCTAAGAAATCAGAAATGATAGAATAACTGTGACAATTGATAATGATCCTCAAGGTTCACTATTCCCTGACGACTATCACCTGCCAAGAACAACTTCAACTTGGACTTCAACATCTTCAGTTAATTCTTCCTCTTTAAAGTATAGAACTATAAAGAACAAAAGGGACTTTATCCTTAACACAGCTTTTTTGTTCCAGAGAGAGGGTTGCATCTAAACATACCTAGGCCAACAAGAAGGTCTCTACGTTCAGGATGTAATTTGGAGGACATTGCTGGGCTCAACATGCCTCCTACACCCTCCTGCACTCACCCACCATGGTACAGCCTTCCTTCCTTCCCTGCCCCAAAATGCCCAACAAGAGATAGCTTCCAGTGAGTCCGACAAACCCAGGTGCACTCTCTCCAGTGATAGCTTACTGAGTAACACACAGCTGATACCACTAGACAGTAAGGAAGAACTGATTTACATGGGAGATGAGAAAGGAAAGCCTTTGCCTGGTACTATCAAGCTCATCCTTTTGCATGAAGCAACTCAGAAGATTAACTATTTGTACTTAAAATATCGGTAAAAATAACAGAGCACACACAAAGATAGCTGTAAAAAAGGAAGTGTCAGGAAAAGTAAATAAAAAGGAAGTGTCAGTAACCATGTCGAAAAATAGGAAGATGAGCCTTATAGGAATAAGATTGCTGTTTTAGTCTACCTTTATTTTTTTTCTGCCAGAAAATATTCTTTTTGACAATCACTTTGTAGCCATTAAACATCTTTAGTCATATATTACCTTGCTTCAAATACCAATGGAACACTGACTACTATTACAGACCCAAAACAAAAGAGGTATTCTCGCCTTTTCTAATACTAGGAAAATAGTGTCTTTTATAGCAGCTTGACCCAAGAAAAGTGGGAAATTATTGAGTAAAGGAAGGATAGTCTTATTCTCTGTGGTATTACCAACAACTAGTAAATTGCCTGGCAGTCGCCAGTATTCAAGAAGCATTTGTTGAGTGAATAAATAAATGGATAAATAAATGAATTAACAATAAGATAGATGCAGTTTTTGTAAAACCCAGCTCTCAGGAAACACAGAGTAACAATTAACAAACAAGCAGTAACACATTACTTTGTAGTTCATGCGACAAAAATGTAAGACCAACAGGTGTAAAACAAACCAGAGTGCTATGTGTTCATCTTCTGTTCACTGGAACTGAAGAGAAAGGCAGATCTTCCAACGAGTACACCCAAGAAAAACAACAT